ATTTACTTTCGATCGCGCTCCCAACACCAGAATCACCATACAGAGCTATTCCCAGACTCGGAATCCCAAACTGACATTGATAACACTGAAATGCACATCAACCCAAACTTATGAAATTTTTCCGAAAATTCTAACTTCCACAATAGGTGCCGAAACGCTCCCGGATCTTCTAAAACCCGATCCGGACATAGACCCAAGCCCAAAATTATCATACGAACCTTCTAGAACCTTCGAATCCCGATTCCGAGATCGTTTACTCAAAAATCTAATCTTAGTCTATTCTTTCAACTTAAAGCTTCCAAAATGAGAATTCTCTCTCCAAATCAACTTCGAACTTCCCGAAATTCAATTTCGACCATGCGTACAAGTCATATTACCTGAAGGGAAGCTGCTCATTGCTTCAAACTGCTAAACGACGTGCTAGAACTCAAAACAACCGGTCGGATCGTTACCACCCCCCCCCCCCCCATCTATCTCTCTTTGTCTCTCTATCTCTCCTTCTCTATTCTTTCCACAATTTTTCTTCTTTTAATGTTCTATGCTTTTTATCTTTTCATGTTGTATATAGTTTCGATGGAATTCATCAATAGATTTCCATCGTTTTACTATAGATTTAACTTAGCAATTTTCTTTCATGTTGCACAATTAGTGTTCAGATTGAAATTGTCAATCAATAAATTTTGAAGGTGTTTGATTCTCCACCATTGACTACTATTAAAAAGTTTCGATGGCTTTGAATTCGTATTTGAGTTTTCATATTATTTGTTTAGATTGATTGCTGTTGCAAACAATTGGGAATATTTTTTGGAATTTATATCTCTATTTTGAAGGTGTTTGGTGAAGATTAAACTTGATTTTGGCTGAATTTCAAATTAAAACTCGTCGAAGAAGAAGAACACATAACATACAATATACTTATGAAATTATATTATAGTTCTATGTAAATTGTATTATGTTGTAATTATATATATTTTTACTTGAATGTTGTATGAAAGTCGAAAAATAGTTGTATAATGTATAAATCGTTTTATGAAATTTGTACGTAAGTTATAAATAATACTCCTCTTTTTACATAAAGTTCTTGATATGTATCATAATTGTATTAAGAGAGGAAGTTTTGATTAGAATTTCAGAGAGGAAGAAGAACACACCACTAACAAAATATATACAAATCATATACAAATTACATACAAAAACACATATTGTATAAAATTTGTATGAAAATTATATTTAAGTTGTATGGTGTTGTAGTTGTATTTAACTGTGTAGAAATAATGTATGAAAGTTATAGATAAGTTGTATACTATATACTTAGTTGTATGAAATTTATTTTTTGTATGTATGTTATTGTAGATATTGAAATTTGTATTAAATTTGTTCGAAATTTGTTTTTAATTTGTATGTTGCTGTACCTACATTATTCTTTTCTTAGGAAGGAAAAAATTTGATATATATTATTAATGGTTAAGTTTGGGCACAACCCAACTAAATTTATTTATTTGGGAGAAGTGCACAATATTTAAGGCATAGCCGAAGCTTAAATAATTTTGAAAAATTGACATAGGGTAACAACACATAATAGGAATTGACAAAATTCTAGCCTTAGATTAAGTTTGACAAAAAAAGGCCCAAAAAGATTGGCATTCTATAGCCATATCCCGTAAAGCACGATTTTGTGACCTCTCAAATACCAACATATTAGGGATATTATGAAGATTTTGTAACTGTATCTTTCGTCTTCCTTTCTCTCTCTTTATATGTCTATTCTTCCATCTCTCACATCTAAAAACGTCTCCCTCTCTCTCAATATACGTAAAATTTCTTTGATGTTGTCAACTAAAACACTAGTAGAAAATCATGCAAATAATTTGTAATTAATATAGTATTTCGTGAAATAGAGTGTAGGCATCGACCTGAATAATTCAACGTTTAAAGATCTGAGGATGTTTTTTGTGTTATAATCATGCCCACAATAATTAAAAAACTCTTGAGTGAAAAAAAATAACTATTGAAATATAAATGATCGATACATCCTCTTTTTTCCCCTAACATTGGCATTAGCTAGAACTTCATTTTTTTTCTTCCCTCTTTTTCTTCTTTTTTTTTATTAAAATAATTATTCTAATTCCCATCTTGTAATATTAATGTATCCTTCGCTTTTATATATATCTATATATATATCCACAAGAAATTATATATGGTACTCTGAGATACATAAAAGAAAAGTAAATTTTTGATATACATCTTTTAATATATAGTAAAAAGTAGGAAAATAAAATTGAGATATACATTTTGGTATAAGCATTATTTGATGTGTTATACATTGTGACATACAGATAATGCAATTATTTTTGTGTTATACACATACAAAGAAGGAAAATAAATTTTTGATATACAAGAAGGAAATTAAGTTAAGATATACATTTTGATATATATATATATATATATATATATATATATATATATATATATATATATATATATATATATATATATATATATA